CAACACAGGAAGTGAGCAACCTGTTTACCTGGTTCTACTGCACCTAAGTTCTTGGGTTAATAACAATAATTTTATCTCAATGCAGTGATTTCCTCCAAAGTTCACAGAAGCTTGTCTACATCCCAGTCTGATGTGGGTGATGAATGTGTGTTTTCTGTTCTGTAGCTGGAAAAATTGAGCCAGGGAAGAAGATAGCAGGGGTTAGGGGAAGGGCCCTGCTCAGCTGTGGCCTGGTTAGCATTGTAATGACTAACTCTCCTAGGAAAGAAATCCTGCTTTGTAGGGGCTGCTGATTTCTATGGCATAAATACAGTAGCCATGCAGCCCCATGTACAGTTTTACTTTCCATGGTTTTAGTTACCTACAGTCAAGCACAGTCCAAAGACATTAAATGGAAAATTCTAGAAATAATTCATAAGTTTTAAATCATGTGTCTTTCTGAGTAGCAAGATGAAACCTTGCTATGCCTTGTCCAGGAGGTGAATCAACCCCAGAGTATCCACAGTGTCCGTGCTACCCACCCATTACACTTAAGAAGCTCAGGGTTGTCATGCAGGAAACCCCCTGTAATGGTCTGTTTTCTGTTGCTCTAAGAGGATGCTGAAGATTGGGTAATTTATAAAGGAAAGAGGTTATTTTGGCTTATGGTTCACAAGTCCAACATTGAGCAGCTGTGTCTGCCGAGGGCCTTGTGTTGCATCGTGACACAGTGGAGGCCAGGCATGGTGGTGCACACCTGTAACCCAGCACTCGTGGCTGGACCAGGAGGACAGCCTCCAATTCAAAGCCTCATGGTGACCTCAGGGCCAGCCTGGAGTACAGAGCAAGGCCTTGTCTCAAAAACACCAAAACAAATAAACAAAACCAGAGTGGAAGAGCAGGAGGATAAGAACTACAAATGGAAAAGACAAGTAAAACATGAAGAACAAACTGACTATAATCTTACCTGCTTTTGCTTTCTCCTATGAGAAAGGTATTCATCACTTAAAAACCTAAGCACCTCTTTGGTTTGGTTTGCTTTGCTTTGCTTTGGTTGTACTGAAGAGTGAACCCAAGGCCTTCACAGTGCATTACATCCCTAGCCCTTTCCTTGTTTTTTCCTTTGAGACAGAATCTCACTGAGTTACCTGGGCCAGGCTTGAATGTGCCATCCTCCTGCCCCAGCCCCTCAGAGGCTTGGGATCATAGGCATGTGCCCCATGCCCAGCTCTAATCACCTCTTAAAGTCCCCCCCACAACACTGTGGCATTGGGGTTTCCAAAGGGACACACCATATTTGAACTACAGTGGCTTCCTCTATGAATGAGATCCTGCTCTAGGATTAAAGAAACACCATCTTGCTGAGGGAGTGTCCGTGTCCTGGAAGCTGGTCCTGCCTGCTCTACAAATCTCCGCCACAAGATCGTTAGCATATTGCTTTACCTTTGTTCCCTTGCCAGCAAGGCAGAGATGCGGGCTCCATAGGTTAGTTAGGAAGCGGAAGCTAATGCTATCGCATCACAAACGCCGGAAAGGTGGCTGTTACCTGCCATGGTGAGTATCACCAGCCTGTGGTTTCATTGTCTTTTTTGGCCCATCTGTATTCAGTGTCACACTGGGAAATGTTTAACAGTGTTTCTCCATCTCCATGGTGTGAGGGCTACAGCTGTGGCCAATCCCTGAGTTTTGGGGGAGAACATGCGCAGTTGGTGCTCACAAGCTGGTGTGAGCCTGCTGTTCTGGTTTTCAACTGTGCACTGAATATTTTACTTAGGGGAGAGAGAGAATATTAATTAGCAGGGCACCTAGCGTGGTACTGACATGTTAGCCTTCGTCTCTCCTGCATCCTCAGCCCATATGAATTTATGCAAGCAGCACACTGACCTTGAGCGGGCAGCCATGTGAAGTGGGGTCTTCCCGGAGCCGAGCGCCCTCACCTTGCTCTCCATCTGCCAGACTCCGCGACCCTCAGACTGTGGAGGAGGTGTGAAGGTCTGCTCACCACGGACTGTGCAAGGGCACAGGCAGCTCCTCGCTCTTTCCGGGGGAGACGTGCTCTGAGCAGATGGGTACAAAGCGGAAACTGCCCTAGCAGGAAGCCAAGAAAGGTCCCAGTGAGTGAGGGAACTCGGTGGCTGCAGACTAGCCTAACCTGTCCTTGTACCGTGGTGACACAGCAGTGTGTGCAGGTAGGGGCTCCAGAGGTGCAGTGGAAGTGCAGACACTCCGCTCAGTGTCTGGCTCAAGAGTTGGTGCTGAAGGGATTTTTAATGGTGCTTGGTTTGGATGGGTTTTTAATTTTTTTTAATTAATACATTGGCTTTACTCCTTCATACAGTGACTTGTTGCAGAAGGGATATACACAACTCAGTATACTCTTAATGAACGAATAAAAATAAGTCTTAGCCCTCAGCAGCTCCTAGTTTTGCATGTTCCTGAATAGAAAGTGTGACTTTAAGTCTAAGTGTTAATATAGGTTGCCAGTAATTTTTTGTTTAACTTCCTCTGGCTTTTCTGTATTTTTGAAAAATATCTTCTATGAGTACGGATCATTGTTGTTTTGGAAAATGAATATATGTTATAAGAATAAGCCTGCAAATAAAAGTGAGACAAGGTGGTATCGGCATCAAAGGCTCAAGAGGTGATGTGTTGGCTGGGTGTAGTGTCATCACGCCAGGTCACCCCAGCTACTCAGGAGGCAGAGGCAGGAAAAGCAAAAGTTTGAGGCCCACTTAGACAGTTTCACAAGGCCCTACCTCCAAAAGATAGGGGCTGAGGATGTAGCTCAGTAAAGAATGCTTGCCTAGCATGCACAAGGCCTTGGGTTCAACCCCTGGTGCCACACACACACACACACACACACACACACACACACACAGGCAACCTGTCCCTACAGTGAGGCTCTGCCCGTGAGGCTCCTATAACTCAGGCGCATGGCTCAGGCAGTCCCAACCCCAGCCTCCTCGATCTTGTCCCGGCGTAGTGCTCCCTCACCCCTCTACATGGGCCTCCCCGCCTCAGGCACCAATCAACAGTGCCCCCTCAGTCACCGCCGGCAGGCATATGATAGGTGTAAGCCTTAGTCAGAAGTAGGAGTGGGAAGAGGCAAGTTCTCCAGTGGGGTAGAAGCAGACCATCCACTCCTGACACCTGACAAGAACACCCCTCGGGAGTCCCCAGCCAGGGCACCCGGTACCCTCTCCCTCACTGCCTCCTCCAGGGCAAGAGGAGGGTCTCTGCTCCTCTCCATGCGGTAAAGCAGCAGGGCCACCCTGAGGAAGGAACACAGAGCCGTGGGGCTTCCATGCAGACATCTGTTGGGTAGTTAACAAGCCTTCCCCTCAACTTAAGGAACTCGCCTCTTCTTGCCTAGGATCCTGGTTGAGGGAACCATCACGTGTTTGGGGTTTTCATCAGAGACCTAGGTGGAATCTGCAAATGAGGGCTCGGGAGGAGGGTTACAGAACTTCCTCTCTCGACCTGAGAAAGTTCAGGAGGTTGTGACAGAGGCACCTGCATGCGTACAATGTTATTAGCTCTTCCACTAACCCTGCAGCGTCATGGCTGCCCTGTTCTCAGAGCCCAGGTCACTTGCTTGGGCCAGGCAGCTGAGAAGAGGTAGGAGGAGCTTCCCAGGCACTTCCCACCTAGCAGCACCAGGAGTAGGATGAGAGTTCTCTCAGAACCAACCTTTTCTGTGGGTGGCGATGTTATGAGATACAATTTAGATTCCATTCAGTTCCCCCATTTAAAGTGTGCAGTTCAGTGGTTTTTAGTCCCACCAGGCCCCCACAGCCCAAGGCAACATGAAACTGCTCTTTGCCAGCACGGATTTGCCTGTTCTGGACCCTTCGCATAAGCGGAAGCGTACGGTATGTGGCTCTTTGTGTCTGCCTCCTTGCACTCCGTGGAGTTTCCACGGTTCATCCGTGTGGTAGCACATGTCCATAGTTTGTTCCCTTTGATGGGTGAAGAACAGTATTCTGTTTTATGGCTATGACGTGTTTTGCTCTTGGATCGTTTCTACTTATTAGCTATTAGGAATAATGCTTCACAGTTTCATGTAAGACGTAGGCTTTCCTGTCTCTTAGGTATATGCCACATAACTGATCTTTTGACAGTCTCTGTCCGATCACACATGTCACTTCCTTGCTTTCAAATGCTCAGTAGCTTCCGATTGTTCTGAAAATCAGGTTCAAAATCCTCACGTTGGTCCACACAGTTACAGCTTCCGGACCTTTCCCCTGCTTACCCTGCCCAGCCCGCTACTGATCTTCCCTGGCTGTGTTCCAACCAAGAGATCAGAGGCTCCTCCAAGACACACAAGCTCCTTCCTTGGCCTCAACTTTGAAATTTCATCGCCCCTCCTCATCCTGAGGTCTCAGCTGGCGCGTCCTCACTCCCTGACCCTCAGACGAGGCTGGCTCCCAATCCCAGCATCGCCACCACCATTACCACCAATGACAGCAAGTGTGATTGCGTGTTTTGTGTTTATACTCCTGCTGTCCTAGGCTCCAGGAGAACCGAGACCTTGTTCTGGCTCCCCTAGTTTTCCCAGCTGCCTAACACCTGGCCTGGCACACTTGGGCACTAGGTAGATATTTACCAGGTGAATAATGGAGAACAGTGACAATATCTCCCTTGGTGACGAGGACACTCAGGCAACTGTGAGGCCAAACTGACTCCTCTTTTCCCAACCCTGTTCTCTCAGGTTTGTGGGAGCCCCTGCCCAGCTCCATCTCCTGACAGGGCCATTCCCATAGCGTGTAACTAGGGGTAGCTCCAACACCACTGACCCAGTCAGCAGCCACATAGTCCATTTCTGGGGTGCAACAAGGAGGGATTCTTTGAGGCAACTGCTTCTTTGAGAGTTGGGGAAACTGCATTCCCTTTAGCAAAGCTGATTGCCTTTCTGCCTGTCTTGTTTGAAAAACTGTCCTTGAAGAAATTCCAAGAGGAAACTGTACACCTTCTGAGACTTAATTGCTTTTTCAAAAAACACTGTTTTCATTTCCCCACAGATATGCACTTATTTGGCCATTACCCAGCACATGACGACTTCTATCTCGTAGTGTGCAGTGCCTGTAATCAGGTCGTCAAGCCACAGGTTTTCCAGTCGCACTGCGGTAAGTGGACTCCTACATTTGGCAGACGCATTGGCAGCCGCCACTCGGGACAGTCGCCTGCCCCCGAGGCCCCCAGCAGGGTCGCCCTGCGTCTGCCTTAGCCCAAGGCTGTGGGCAGACTCCTCCTGGGGCCGCTGCCTCTGCTTGCAGGGTGACTTTTAGGAGCTGTAGTCCTGCGGAAGTGCTGGTCCTGTCACAAGTGAGAGAGCGCCTTCGACTTGTGTTGGTAGGTGGGACCAGACTGAGAACATGCACCCAACCTGGCCTTTTAAAGTAACCAAGGTGGGGAGAAGAACTGCTCCTACAGCCTGAATTTTCTCCCCTCAAACAAGGCCCAGATTTATCAAAAGGGGCTCTGGAAGGAAAAGAGCCCCAGTATGTGGGTCATTAAATGGTGCCCCCAGGAAACAGCATGGAGACGGAACCTCGGGTTCCACCTGTCTTTTTCCCCCTTATTTAAAACAAAACGACAATATAAAAATCCAGGTGTGTTTGGGAATTCACCTTTTGTCTGTATCTTAGCATCCTCATTGTAATCAATTCCTTCAGTCCAGTGATCCCTGGACTCCACCCAGAACAGATGCTGTGAACCTAAGAACAGATAAGTCCGTGTGGCTGCTCCCCTTGGGGACAAATCAGCAGCACCCTGACCTAGACAGGAAATCACTTAATTCCCTGGGTAGAAGTTCCCTTATCTTTAACAGGGAGTTGAGCCGGACAGTATTTCCCAGTCATCTCATTTCAGCTCCTTTTGATAAATAAAACTTGAATGTTCTGCTTCACTGTTGAAGTTCCAAAGCACATCAAATATTGTACCTTAAAAAAACACAAAAAAGTCAAAGCAATTATAATGTTGAATGTGCTTTTGCAAATCCTGTACATTTCTCCTTTCTCATACTGCATTTCTAACTTTCCCACACACACCTATTTATTATGCTATAATAACTAGGCATAAAACAAAAGAAGTAAATGTGTTTGGGATTACAGAATAGTTCATTTATATACTAATTGCATTTGTGAGTATGTGTATATTTGTGTGCTGTATGTACTACCTCTGTGTACAGGAAATCTGTGTCTGTGTAAATGCTCTAGGTCTGTTTGTGCTTACGATGTATAGAAAGAAAACTGGACTCTTCTCTGGGCACTTTTGTGAGTTGGTCTGAGACTTTCTGGCTGGTTAGACAGAAAGGAACCTAGAAAATGCTGGTGAGAGGCGGAGTTCAGCACTGTGTGCTTGGGCTGCTTGGTTAATGTCTCGAGTTTCGGTCTCTTCATCCCTTCCCCGAGGAGGTGACTTCTATGGGCACATCTGGCTGTAATATTTTCATTCTTGGCAACATGAGTGCAAAAGGAGGGAGTCGTGACCTGGACATGAGTTGACCTTCTTCCTCATTGCTCGGAAGCAAACATACTCTCTTCTGCCTGGGAGAAAGAAAAGGTCAAATCTCTCCAAAGGGGAGCTGTCAGAGGCCCCAGGTGTGGTACCAGCTGAGGTGACAGGTGGGGAACCCAAAGCAGAGCAGTGTCAAGAAAGTGTCACCCTGCTGGTCCCTTGCTTGGGGAAGGGCCGAGGGGCGCCATACCTGGCCACTGTGTATTCTGAGACAGTGCAGGTGTCAGTCACCAGAATGCCATCATCCTCCCCTACCGTCAGACCATGCTGCCGTCCTAGGTCCTGCGTACAGCAGGGAACACAGCACGTGAAAATCCCAGCTCACATGTGGCTCGTGTTGTATTGTAAGCCGTGCAGACCTTTCCTGGGAACCTGGTTCACTGGCAGAGTTTGCCCTGCAGTGTGGCCCAGCAGAGGAGCTGCCAGGCTGGCATGGCTGACGTGCTTCCTTCTGCCCAGTGCTTTTGGTGCAAGAGCCAAGTTGCAGCTTAGCAGAGAGCCAGTGGCATCACGGCCACCTGCTCTGAGCAGTGGAAGCAAATTAGTTTGGGGCTGTGGGGTTACTGACCTCATCACTGGAAGCCGCTCTGCACTGAACTTCTTGCTGAGCTGGCGATAAGCAGCAATGGGGCCATAGCCGTGTTTCAACCAGTGAGGCCGAAGCCCTTCTCATACGGCAGGTGTGCGTTCTGATAATAAGAAACCCGTGTTCAGCGGGACCAAGAGGGAGTGTGAGGCGGAGCTCCAAACCAGGGCAGCTCTTCTAGGGGAGTGTTTTGTGATTGCTCCAAGAATTCCTCCTGCCTTTTTGTGTGTGTCTTCGTTTCAGCAGTTGTATCAGAATACCACAGACTGGAATGCTTAGGAACCGCAGAAATGTGTTTGTCATAATTTTGAAGGCTACAAGTCTGAGATCAGGGTGTCAGCATGGCGGGCCCTAGAGGGCTCTGTCCCTGGACACAGAGGGTCATCTTCCTACTGTGTCCCCATGGGGCAGAAAGAGGGCCAGACAGCATTCTGGGGCATCTTCTAAGGGCAGCAGTCCATCTGTGAGGGCTCTGCCCGCAAGACGCAGTTACCCCCCGCCAAAGCCTCCTCTGTCATGTGAGCTGGCGCTTCAGCCCGTGAATGTGGGGGAGGCACAGGCATTCAGTCCACAGCAGTATTGGGTTTTTGCCATTTTTACCTTGAACGAGGCTTGGGAGTCCCAACAAGTTCATGAGAGTGCCATTGTGATAAGTGCCAGGCTGTGGCAGGTGCCTTCCATGTCTTGAGCATGCCATCCTCTGACCCCTCCCTATCGTGGCTATGGATATTATGTCATTTTGAAACTGAAGAGGTTGAGACTTCGGAGGCGCAGTCCTTTGTTCCAAGGTCCCTAAGCTGGCAGGTGTGGAGCCTGATTTTGAACACAGGCAGCTCCATGGCAGAGCGAGCTTAGCCGTTGTCCCTTGCTGCTTCTCTGCAGGGAACCCCAGTCTCTAAATACGAGGGGTGATCGCAATAGACGGTGAATGCTTAAATTTTAAAAACCTTACTACAGTAAAAGGTGCATTGCCAAGAACAATGGGCTAAGTGTGTTCAAAGCGAGGGGATGATAGTTTGAGGGGAAGTAAGGGCTTTTATTGTAATAATTTTAATGTAGATACTCACTGTATTTTTTTGATTCTCCGAATTGATCAAACATTTTTGGTAATTGCTGCCAAATAAAAAGATTACGGTGTGTCCTCATCTACCTTCTCACCGGATCGGGCACCATGCGACTTCCGGCTCTTCCCTAAAGTCAAATGATCATGACAGATAAGTGTGTTGAGTTGATTCGGGCATCTAGACAGCCAGGACCGGGCAACTAAAGACACCCATGTGCTGGGCGTGGTGGCTTACACCTGTAATCCCAGCACTTTGGAGGCTGAGGCAGGAGGATCATTGCGAGTTTGAGACTAGCCTGGGCTGAAAAGTGAGCTCAAGGCCAGCCTGAACTGCATAGCAAGACCCTGTCTCAAAAAAAAAAAAAAAAAGACACCCATGAGCGAGGACTTCCAGAATGGGTTCCGAAAGTGCCGAGAACAATAGGATAAGTGTGCTCAAAACAAGGGGGAGGATTTGGAATTAGTGGCTATATATCTTTTATTGTCATAATTTTTTTTAAATGTAAACATTCATTGTATTTTTTTATCACAACTTCATATGTATGGAAGATGTAGCTGTTGAGGGCAGGAACCCAATCACTACCCATTTAGGCTTCCGCTGACCCCACCCCCACCCCAATCTGCCTCAGGACCACAGAACACCCTGGACATTTGTTGATGGTGTACAAATCACAGGGGTTTGGAGTCAAGCAAAGTGATTGCAGAGCTTCCCACTAACTGTGGTCCTGGGGATGCAAGTCTTTCTCCGCCTCAGTTTCTGGTGTGTAAAATGGGCACCACTGCTCGTCGTGGGGTTGGGACGGTGTACCCGGTGTGAGGCCCGGTGTGAGGCCCGGCGTTCATCTTTCTGCACTGCCTCCAGCCAGAAGAGAGTCTGGACTGTGAATATTCATAGACATCTCCTCTCCCGTGCCCCCTGCGCCTTCTGCCATGCGGTCGTCTGCAGACTGTCTTCACTTTCAGTGCCGGACAGTCCTGTGTTCCCAGCACCCAGAAAATGAGCTCATCCTGGGTGTGTGTGGTGACATTTGAGATTAGGTGTGCTGAATGTTTAAGCTAAATTAGAAAAAAGTGTGTGTGTGTGTATTCTGGCACTTTGGAATACACACACACACACACACACACACACACACAGGGACACTTTGGAAAGCGGTAGTCAAAGGAAAACTGTTTCTCACTCAGTACTCCTGACACCAAATGTGTGGGCTTTCCACACCAGGCAGTCTCTGTGGACAGCAAGGAGGGTCCTACAGTTTAATTCAGCCTGACTCTGGGAACTCAGAGTTAGCTCAGGCCCCACTGGTTAAAGGCTCAATCCCACTACACACCCCCTATGTCGGGTGAGTCCCCGGGTACCCATACTGGCTGACTTGCCTACAATTGGTGATTTCCACAGACCCACAAAACATCTTCAGGTTTAGTATTTGCTGTGACTCACAGAACTCAAGGAAACACTGTCCTGTGTTTTGTTTCATTTTTTGTTTGTCAGTTTGTTTGTTTTTGAGACAGGATGTCACTTTGTAGTTCAGGCTAACCTTGAGGTCAATATGTAGCCCAGGCTGGCCTTAACTTGTGGCGGTCCTCCTGCCTCAGCCTCCTGAGTGCTGGGATTACAGGCGTGTACCACCACGCCCAATATGTTTTATTAAAATTACTGATCATAATCATGTGGGAAAAGATGTGACAAAGGATACAGATGAATAGACAGACTCACAGATTGAGGTCTAAAAGGGTCCCACGCACAGCAGCATCTATCCCCATAGACTCAAGGCACTGCCCTGGTCCCACCAACACTTAGATGTGGTGATACATGTGGCAGCTGGGGTCCCCTGAGCAGCTGTGTCATGGACGGCATTTTTGTAGGTTCCATGACACAGGCAGGATTGGTGAAAGCACCAGCCGTTGGTCATGAGCTCAGTCTTCAGCCCTGCGCAGGTGGGACAGAAAGTTCAATCGTT